ATCACATGCAGTCATAGAAGGAACTCCCTTTTCAAAATTTCAATGCTGACTAGAGCAATTAACCTAACATCTGCTGTAATATCCCCACTGACCTACCTCTAATATTTTTTTCATATCCAGTTACCACCCTTGCAACATCCTCGAGTTTAGCAGTTATTATAACCTGCATTCCTTTTTTATTTTTAATTTGTTTTATTATTTTTTATTTTTGTTTATATTTTTTACATTTTTTACCCTATATTCTTTTTTGCCTACCCATGCTTTTTATTTGGTAACTACTTACTTTTTTAGTTCATATTACAATAATCATATCTGTTGACTCAATACACCTTTACAGATCAATATCCCTATTAAACTGACTATTAATAACTTATTTATTTTTCAATATCTACCTACCAACACTCTATATTTTTAATTTATAGACCAATGCTATATTATATTTATAATAATCTTGAACTTTCTATCCACATATAATGTAGCATTGCTCTCATGAGACCCAGAAATTTACAAAAAACAAGCATATTGATCAGTTCATAACTTTTTGTACCTGATGAATGGAAAAACCATGAAATTCTGAGTTGTACTGTAAATATAGGTATATGTATATTTATTAATATATACTTTATAGCTTTGTTTAACTACATTGAGTGCTATTTTGTCTACAATAGTTATTTTCTCACTTGTACGTAATTGCTCACATATATGGTTGATCGTATCTCTTTTAGATCATTTCTACATCTCTCCCTCTATATATATATATATATGTACACAATCCCGGAAAATCCTTGTTGAAAACACAACTATATTAAACATGAAAACAATAAAGAAAAACTAAAAATTCTTGAAGCTATATACATAAAACAGTTGAAGCCTAACTGGAACAAAATAAACTACGAAATCACTAGAAATATTCTTAAATGCCTATAATTGATAACAGAAGCCATCGGTTTATACCAATGGCTTCCCATACTTAATACTTCTCGTTTTTACTCTTGCATAGTTATGTGTTACACGAGTTAGCTGTTGCTTTGAAATTTTTCATGCAACAAAAACAGACTATCATTATTGTTTTGTCCATGTATTGGTTGATATATTGAAAAGTAATTGTCATCTTTGATAATGGCTTATGTAAGCCGAAAGCTTAGATTGGATTTAAACATGTATCAATATGGTGATTTCCTTTCGTCTTTCAATGATAATATTATTAAGCTTATCAGACAATATGAAAGGAACTTACTTAAAATAAATAGACAAAACTTTATATTATTTAATGAAACATGCATCAATATATATATATATATACTAAAACATTTTTAAAAACCAATGACATTTTTGCTTTTGTATATAAATATGTCACAAAATAAAATATTTGCATTTGTTCCTCAGATGACAAAACATGTTGCCTAAGTTTTCCTTTTGTCTTAGAGCAATAATTTTATGTGTGTGAACTTAGACAATATATATAATTTAATAGCCTGACATAACTCAATTTTTATCTGAAATATTTTCTGTATACTGTTCCATCTATGGGGTTAATTTTCACTGCTTAAGTGCATTGACAAAGAAAGGGATTGTTAAAAAATATTTATGTAATATAAATAGTTTTTCTTAATTAGGACTTACTGATATACATACACACACACACACACATACATATATATATATATATATATATATATATATATATATATATATATATATATATTTATGAAGAGAGAGAATATATTTGTCAGTGTGAATGCACACATGCAGTGATGTAAGTACATACCAAAATATTAACAACCACACTTTCTTGATATTTTGTAAATATCAAGTATTAACTTATATGCACTGGAATTATTTTCATTACTATAGATACACACAAAACCAAAAACAAACAACACAGAAGTAATTAATCTTAACACACTGCTCAAGTGCAAAAAACTCTGGCTTAGTGAATATGCCACTTGCCTGGTTATGTTTGGGTTGGATGTTCAAATCAGGGCAAGATTCACTTTTTATTTTATATATGTGTTTGCTTTATTACAGCAAAAAGTTACAGACAAAAATATATAATTACACATGACGTATTAAATAAATAGAAGTATCATAGAATTACGCAATAAAATACAAGAGTTAAGTGGCTATTTTGCAGAGAGTGTTTTCCTTTAACAACGTACATGAAATCTAGCAAGTAGTTTTGTTACTTGTTTCTTTTTCTACAAAAACTTAGAAAAAACTGAGCAAAACTTATTAACAAAAAAACAACAAAATTATTATCAATAATCTTCATATATAAATTGTAGAACTTGTAGCGTCCATCCAGAAGTCTTATACTGCTCAACTTGTTCAGATACATCTGATAAGGCAAAAACTTTTCTATTTATCTGTGTCAGATATAAAATACAAAAACCTATGTTACATTATTAAAAAACCATATATATTATTCACCCCCATTTTTTTAAGCCATGTACATTACTTACCCACAAATTTTTTAAGACATGTATATTATTCACTCACCCCTTTTTTGACTATAAAGCTATCAATAAGAGATTTAGGAATGCAGTTTTACACTGCAAAACCTACCTCAGTGCCATCTGCAGCAGTGGTCACCTTCCAGTGATATGTAAACTTAGAGTGAAACTATGGAAATTGAAGAGGGTAAAGGTAGCACCCAAATTGCAATACATCAGGCTCCTGAATGACTCAAATGTGAAGGTAAAACATATGGACAGTGTTAAAAGTAGACACAATAAACAAAATGAGAATGGAAACTCAAAGTGGAACACATTAAGAGAAGCTTTAGCGACATCAGCAATTGAGATTATCTCAAAGAAAAATAGACTGAATGATAGATTAAATTCTCAACATGATGAAAAGGAGACAAAACACAATGCCAAGGCACAGCACAGAATACAGGATTCTGCACAAAGAAATTAGAAACAAATGCAGATGGGCTCAGCAAAAAATGTGTAAAAATAGAAAGAATGAGTATCACAGATAAAGCAAATATGCGTAAAAAATAAGAGAACTAACAGAACAAAAGACATTCTCATGAACAGGATGCATAAAATCCTAGAACGGAACAACAATATTCAAGAAATAAAAAATATTTCAGAGGTGAAACAAATACATCAGAGAACTCTTCTACGTTGAAAGAGAACAATTGACAATACACAGAAATATCGAAGGACCAGTAATATTAAAATCTGAAGTGAAATCAACACTAGCCAAATTGAACAGAAACAAAGCAACAGTACCAGGCAGAATTGTAATAGAGATGCTGGCAGCCTTAGATGATTTTGGCATTGGCAAGATTAAACATAATAAATGAAATATATAACAGTAGTGATATACCAGAACACCTAAGTATATCCATTTTCCTAGTATTACCAAAGAATACATGTGGAAATGAATGTGAACTCCACTGAACAATCAGGCTAATGAGCCAAATAAAAAAAAAACTTATCATCCAAACTATGATAAATAGAGTGCACAGTAGAATTAGACTAGAAATAGGACAAGAACAGTATGGGTTTGTTAAAGATACTGGAACAAGAAATACAATATTTATGCTCAAAATAATATCAGAAAGAGAAATACAATTTAAATATCTGGGAAGTTTTTTTTTAACAGAGGACAGAAAGGGTGACACTGAAATTTGAATATGCTTTGGGATAGTAAAAGATGCCCTCTAAAAGCTAAGCAAAGTCTTAAGAAACAGGAAAACGTTGTTAGAAACAAAGAAAAGAGTACTGAACTGTCATGTAATATCAATCCACTTATATGGCAGTAAATACTGGACAATCTTGTCACAGATGATATAGAGACTTAAAGCAATAGAAATGTACTTCTACAGAAGGATGTTGAGAATACCATGAACAAACATGTGAGCAACAACACAGTTTTAGAGAAAATGGAAACAAAAAGTTTGCTTACATTAACATCAGGAAGAGAAAGTTGAAATTTCTAGGACACACAGTGAAGAAAGAGAGCTTGGAAAATTTGATACTCACAGGACAGATTGAATGCAAGAGAAACAGGAAAATAATACATAAACTAGCTAGCAAGCTTGGCATATCAAGGTTTAGGCAAGATAACAAAAAGACAAAATTTATTGTGCTACAAATAATAGGAAATTGTGGAGAGCCATGATCAACAATGTCCTGCAGGGACACAGCACATAGAGGAAGAATAGATACTCTCCTTTTAAACCATGTATATCACTCACTCACCTTTTAAACCATATATATTACTTGCTCACTCTCCTTTTAAATCATGTACATTGCTTGCTCACTTTCCTTTTAAACCATTTATATTATTCACTCACCCACTTTTTAAACTATGTATATTATTCATCCTTGCTATCACCACACACACACACACACACACACACACACACACACACATCTTTTAACTGGTGGCATCTGTGTCTCTTCTCTCAGTGACAAGCATCAGAGAGTTATCTCCAGATCCATAGCAATGTGAAAGAATTCTTTCTTTCAAAATGTTCAGGTTCACAAAGGTTCCATCTTGATTTGTTATTCATTCTTTAGTAGTTAACTTCTCCATAGACAAAATCTACTTGTCATATAGAAACGTTTTCTCAAATGTAGCCATTTTAAAATTATTTCCTTTAGGAAACAGAAATGATATTCAATTACTAAAAAACGTTTTTATTAACACTAAAACTTTCTCAGCAAATTGATCTTACTAACTTTCAAAATTTATAGCAATGCTCTTCTCTTGAAGTCTCTACTTCATTTATCTACTTACCTTGTTCCATATATTTTGTCCTGATAGAAAAATATTAATATATATTTGATTATATGCATTTCCTTCCCCATCATATCAGTTTTATGACATTTATTTCCCTAACCCTAACCCTCATCACAGCTGTGGAAAATATTTTGTTATTTTTTCACCAAATCAGAGAGATAACATTATTTTTAATATTATTTTTATTTTGATTTAGTGAACTTGGAAAACTTTGGCACAAGGCCACTCTTATAAAACAATCAATGCGGAATAAACTCACTCACAATAGCTTTATAGCAGATGTTCTTTTCCCTTTGGTTTACTGCACATGTGTCAGGGTAAAAAGTAATCCAACAACATATCTTCTGTCATCAGTTTTATGCCAATCTTCAATAAATATTCAAAAGAACAGTAAAAGAATTTCTGCATTTTCTGCCATGAATGTTAAATGTTTTGGCATTTGAGTTTTACAAGATTAAGATAATTAATGTTACAGTTGATTTGCAATATAATTGAAAGTAAAAGAAACTGATTAAAATAATTAAATTTTTCAATGAGGTTAAATATTGTGAATATTAATGTAATAATAATAATTCATAATAGAAATATTAACATCATGAAAAACAAGTCCACACATTAAGACAAACACATGTGAATAATTTTAAAATATGTCTGACAACAAAGATGGAGAAATGAAAAGCATAATAAAAGAAAATAAATTTGTCTCAAATGAAATAAAAGGGCAGAATTATAACAAACGTTTTTTTCATACTGAATTTAAAAATTTCTTTTTATTTTGTCCATAAATGCTATCAAAATTGATAACAAGAGAAAACAAGAAGTATTAATTAACACCTAATTGAAACAAAATATTACTTAGTATGTAATTCTAGCAATTATTTAGTCATTAATTGTACTAAATATCAACTTAATAACAATTTGACAAAATATAACCTATAACCTAACCAGTGGCGTAGCTAAGGGGGGGGGTGAGGTGTGATACAATGTCACCCCCAACAAAATTTTTAAACCAACTAAAGTGCCAAAAATAGTCTGAAAACTGGTGGAGACACAGGGTTTCGCAGGCGGGCATATGACTCCCCAGAAATAATTTATAACCCCCCAGTTTTGTCCCCCCGTCAGAAATTTTCTAATAAATTGTCGGGAAATTTGTGAGTAGGAAAAATAGCAATCTTTTCAGCTTTTGATTTGAACTGATTATTTTGTGGTATTGGATTTTGTCTTGGATCATACATGTAAACAGTAACATACCGGTCAGTAGAGTAAAGTAGAGGTAGAGCATGTATGAAAATTTAGCTACAGCTAACCATTCAGCATAGGGTGAATCGGGGTCATTGGGGTGACATTTGAGCGGACCGCCCCGGGTGACGTTTACTCTAGCTACGCCACTGAACCTAACTATATATTATATTGTACATTTGTACAATATAATATTTCGTGATTCACTGAAATCAAACAGGTGCAACAAGTTAGATATCTGGAAAGTGTATTAATAGAGAACAGGAAGGATAACATAGAAATCCAAAAGTACATTGGGATAGTGAAAGATGTCTTCTAAAAAAATTAAGTATTAAGAAACAGAAAAATATCATTAGAAACAAAGAAAAGAGTGAAGAATTGTTATATAATACCAGTCCCCCCTATATGGCAGTGAATGCTGGACAATTTCCTCATAGATGGAGAATAGAATTGGAGCAACAGATATGTGATTCTACAGAAGGATACTGAGAATACTATGTACTGATCATGTGAGCAGTGACCAAGTTCTAGAGACAATGGCAACAAAAAGGACACTTATACTTAACATCAGGAAGAGACAATTGAGATTTCTGGGACACATAATGAGGAAAGAGAGCCTGGAAAATGTGATACTCACAGGACAGATTGAAGGTAAAAGAGGCAAGAAAGCAATACACAACCTCCCTGGCAAGCTTAAGTGAATGGATATCAGAGAATGGTATGGGAGAGATGGCAAAAAGACAAAGGTTATTAAGAGTTACAAAGGACAGGAAATTGTGGAGAGCTATGATTTCCAACATTCTGAAGGGATGTGACACATAGAAGAAGGATAGAAATTTTACCTAAAGTCTAGTTGCGAAAATATTACTTCATAACTTTAGTACAAAATATTACTTCAGGTTTAGCTGAAAAAATACTATTATAGTACCTTCTTGTACAAAATATTAATTATTGCATAGTTGTAAAAATATTACATAGTGATAAATTGTACAAGCTCTTAAGTTGGGCCTACTTATACAAATACTATTTAGGTTTTAGATTTACTAAATATTATCTAGAGCTTAGTTTTAAAATTATTTAGCAACTAAGTGCACTAATGCCTTGTACACATTATTGCTTCATACCAAGTTGTGAAAAATAATACATAATGCCTATTTTAACAAAATATTGCCTATTTGCATAAAATAATAGTACTTGTAAAATATTATCTAAAGCCTAATTGTACAAAAGTTGCTAGCTTGTACAAAATATTAAGTATATATATATATATATATATATATATATATATGGTCAAACTAGCTCAAACATTCATGAGACTCTCACCTGACCTTCATGTCTGGAAGGTCATTAGGGTGGCATTCTGTGTCATAACATAGCTGGTCAATGTTGTTACTGTGTGAGCAACCTGTCTTGCTCTATGCCTAGGTATCCAGAGCAGTAGCATCTGAATGTAGGTTCCAGCAAACTTAGACTCAAGGGTTTTAGTTAATGTCCAAACAGTGGTACCATACTACAGTTGCTCAAAAGAATCCCTGTTTGAGGTTGTCTGGTAGACCAGATTTCCAGATTACATCCATTTTATTCAAGGTAACCCAGGTTTTAGCTATGTGGATTTTCACAACATTTTCAGTGGAATTCATTTCACTTCCTAGACATGTAAAAGATTCAAGAGATTTTATTGATTCACCTGAGACACTTTGTATTGAGCCTTGGCTGGTTGAACTTCTCTCAACAAACATCTTCTAGGTTTTACTTTATCAGTAAGACTCTCAAATTGATATCCTCCAAAAAAGTTGATAGATATTGACTATGCAGATAACCTAGCTATCAGTACAGACATCATTATCAATGTCACAGTTCTCCTACATCATCTAGAAAATTCTTCCAACAATGTCAATGCCTCTAAAACTGAAGTCACAGGCTAAAAAGAAGCAACAATGTCAATGCCTCTAAAACTGAAGCAAGGCTGAAAAAAAAAATAGTGACTAGTCAAAGTAAATATTCCACTGAGATACGTTTTTGAAGTTGAATCCCAATTTCTGTTTGAATGATGAACATTAATCCTGTTGGATTATTGTTAATACCATTTGTACAACATTAATCAAATGGTAAATTTGTGTGGAACAATTTCTAAGTTACACACCTTTTCAAATGACTAAGATCCTATCATTTTGCTTATAAATCCCTTTAATCTAAATACAGAGAAATTTTTCCACTCACATAGATATATTAATTTTTTTTTTTTTGTAATCATTTCACCCCAAGCAAGGCAGGAATGCCACTAGTACACAGGGGGTTACAGAGAGCGAAGGTGAGAGAAAATATTGGGTATAGTGGGGACTGAGGATAGGATAAAAGCTGAACAGTGTTCAAGACAACAGAAGATGGTGATTGACATTGCATTTAAATTTTTGAAGATTGTAGTTATCAGGGAAGCAGGTAAATGGAAGGGAGTTCCGCAGGCAAGAAGTGTGAGAAAAGTGTTGGAGTAGAAGAGGCAGTTACATTTGACTAATTCAACAGTAAAAGGGTGGGACCTAGTTGTGTGTGTATATGTGTGTGTGTAACTGTTAGAAAATTCTAGATTCTAAGATTGATTTCAATTTAGGATTAGTACATAGCAGAAACAAATTTTCTCATGTAATACATACATAGGCACATACATGTGTGTGAGCGTCAATTAATTTAGATGTATAACTGAATGTGTATTTAGACATATATAATTTTATATATACATATGTTTAAAAATATAGAAACACCAATATATATATATATATATATATATATATACATACATTTATACATGTGTATATAAATATATATATACACACATGTATAAAGGTATGTGTATATATATATATATATATATATATATATATATATATATATATATATATACTTCTGTTTATATATGAGATATAGGAATAACAAGTAAGTATATGAAAGACCACTATCCTATTTTTTTTCACTTACCAATATAAGTAATATATATATATATACTGATATTATTAAGTAATATGTGTGTATGTGTGACAAGATAGAAAGACAATAAGAAATACAAAGAGTAAGTGAAAAAAAATAGGATAGTAGGATATATATATATATTTGGTTTTTCAAGGATAGCAATAGGCAAGTGTTGTGTATGTATGAAAACAGGAAATTTGTCAGGTTCTTGTGAAACTTCCAAGAAACAGAAAAAAAATATAAAAAAAGAAAGAAGCCTCGAAACAAAAGGAAAAAAAATGAAAAAAACACAAATTCTCATTATCAAGGAAGGTTGAATTAGTTTTTTACTAATTAAAAATTAAGAACTAGTAAAAGACAAACAAAAACAATCTCTCACTGTAAATATCCTCTTTCTCTCTCTTTCTCTTTCTCCATCTTTCTCTCCCTCACTATATATCCCTCATTTTTCTTTCATTTCTCTCTCATTGATTTTATCACTTTTCCTTCCATTTTCTCTTTTCATTTTTTCCACACTTTTGCTTTCCTTCTTTTTATTTTTTCATCTTTCTTTTTCTTTACTTTTCTCTCCATCCTTATTTCATTACTTCATTTATTTTTAACATTTTTTCCTATTTCTTTACTTTTTCTTTCATCTTTATTTAAGATTTTTTTCATCCCTCGTTTACTGTTTCTTGCCTTTTCCTTCCAGCTTTATTTCTTTCTTTTATTACTGTCTTTCATTTCATTCAGCTTTTCATTCATTTTTCCTTTCCTTTGTGACTATCCCTCAATTTCTTCTTCTTTTAGCTGCTTTTTCATAGATTTCCCTTCATGTTTATCATTTTTTTCCCTTCATGTTTTTCATTCTTTTCCCTTCATGTTTTTCATAGATTTCCCTTCATGTTTTTCATTCTTTTCCCTTCATGTTTTTCACAGATTTCCCTTCATGTTTTTCATTCATTTCCCTTCATGTTTTTCATTGATTTCCCTTCATGTTTTTCATTCTTTTCCCTTCATGTTTTTCATTCTTTTTCATGTTTTTTCTTTTCTTCATGTTTTTCATTGATTTCCTTCATGTTTTTCATTCTTTTCCTTTATGTTTTTTCATTTTTTCCTTTATTCATGTTTTTCATTTTTTCCTTCATGTTTTTCATTCTTTTCCCTTTTTTTCATTCTTTTTTTCCTTCATGTTTTTCATGTTTTTTTCATTTTTTCATTCATTTCCCTTCATGTTTTTCATTGATTTCCCTTCATGTTTTTCATTCTTTTCCCTTCATGTTTTTCATTCTTTTCCCTTCATGTTTTTCATTTTCCTTTCTTTTTTCCTTATCCCTTCATGTTTTTTTCATTGATTTCCTTCATGTTTTTCATTCTTTTTTCCCTTTCATGTTTTTCATTCTTTTTCCTTCATGTTTTTCATTGATTTCCCTTCATGTTTTTTCATTCATTCATGTTTTTTCATTTTTTTGTTTTTCTTTTCATGTTTTTCATTCTTTTCCCTTCATGTTTTCATTCTTTTCCTTTGTTTTTTCCTTTTCCTTTCTTCATGTTTTTCATAATTCATTTTTTCATTCTTTTCCCTTTATCATTTTTCATTTTTTCCCTTCATGTTTTTCATTCTTTTCCTTTCATGTTTTTTCCCTTCTTTTTCCTTTCATGTTTTTTTCTTTTCCCTTTCATTTTTTCTTTTTTCCTTCATGTTTTTCATTCTTTTCCCTTCATAGATTTCCTTCATTCTTTTCCTTTCTTTTCCTTCATGTTTTCATTCATTTCCCTTCATGTTTTTTCATTTTTCCTTCATGTTTTCATGTTTTTCATGTTTTGATTTCCCTTCATGTTTTTCATTGATTTCCTTCATGTTTTTCTTCATTTTTTCATTTTCTTTTTCATGTTTTCATTCTTTTCCCTTTATGTTTTTCATTCTTTTCCTTTCATGTTTTTCATTGATTTCCCTTCATGTTTTTCATTCTTTTCCCTTCATGTTTTTCATAGATTTCCCTTCATGTTTTTCATTTTTTCATAGATTTCCTTTCATGTTTTCATTCTTTTCCTTTCATGTTTTTTCATTGTTTTTCATTTTTTCTTTTTTCCTTCATGTTTTTCATTCTTTTCCCTTCATGTTTTTCATAGATTTCCCTTCATGTTTTTCATTGATTTCCCTTCATGTTTTTCATTGATTTCCCTTCATGTTTTTCATTCTTTTCCCTTCATGTTTTTCATTTTTTCCCTTTGTTTTTTTTCCTTGTTTTCCCCTTTTTTTCATTCTTTTCATGTTTTTCATTGATTTCCCTTCATGTTTTTCATTCTTTTCCCTTCATGTTTTTCATTCTTTTCCCTTCATGTTTTTCATTGATTTCCCTTCATGTTTTTCATTGATTTCCCTTCATGTTTTTCATTCTTTTCCCTTCATGTTTTTCATTGATTTCCTTCATTTTTCATGTTTTCCCTTCATTTTTCATTTTTTCTTCATGTTTTTTTATATTCATTTTTACTTTTTTCATGTTTTTCATTGATTTCCTTCATGCTTTTCATTCTTTTTCCTTCTTTTTTCATAAATTTCCTTTTTGATTTCCCTTCATTTTTCATTCTTTTCCTTTATGTTTTTCATTCTTTTTTCTTTATATTTTTTCATGTTTTTCATGTTTTCAGATTTTTCATTCCCTTCATGTTTTTCATTCTTTTCCTTCATGTTTTTCCCTTCATGTTTTTCATTGATTTCCCTTCATGTCTTTCATTGATTTCCCTTCATGTTTTTCATTCATTCTTTTTTTCCCTTTTTTCATTGTTTTTCTCACTTCATTCTTTTCCTTCATTTTTCATTGATTTCTTCACATCCCTCTGTTTTTCATTTTTTATTGCATTTTTCATTTATATTTTTTTCATCCAATTTCATATTTTCCTTTTTTCCTTTCTTTTCTCCTTTTCCTTCTTCTCTACATCCCTTTTTTTTATGCTTTATCCCTTTCTCTTTTCTTTTTTTTTTTTTTTTTCTTTATCCCTCTCTTTTTCTTTTTTTTTTTTTTTTTTTCTCTTTTTTCTTTCTTTCACCACTTCTTTCTCTCTCTGACTGTTTTAGACCCACCATCTTAACATCCTACCTTCCATTATTTCTCTTTCTTTAATATGCCTCTATATCTCTGCAACTATCAATTTTATGCTGAGTACTTTTATTGATTCAAAACCAAAAATGTCAGGTCACTTAAGCAAAATGTTTTCTAGCTTATTTGTAGATTTTTTTATTTTATCTTTCAAGTGTCAGGTGTCATAAATAAGCAATATCTTCAAGCTGCATCTGTAAGGCCACTTCAGAGGTGAGAGAAGCACAAAGAATCAGATCAGGTACTGGATTAAATTTAAAAGAGAAAAAGAAGATAATTGTAGATGTTAGGGAGTTTTCTATTTTCTCTTCAGTGGAATTACAAAATAAAAGCAAAAACATATAAACAAATTGCCATATGGTTACTGCAGTAAGCAGGCAAAAAGAGATGAAGTAGGAAGAAGGTGTTGCTCAAGGAATTTTTTATGTGAAACTTCAGTGGAATCATCAGCTGCTTCAATGATTGATTTGATGTGTTGTGCTTCTACAATAAGAGAAGCGGGAACCATTTGTCTGAGGTTACTATTTAGTTCAGAATTCCCAAAATTCAATCTTTTTTCTTTGCTTTTTTAAAAAAATTATATAAATCTCTCTCTCTCTCTCTCTCTCTCTCTCTCTCTCTCTCTCTCTCTCTCTGTGTGTCTTGTCACTCTTTTACATTGACATATAATGGAACCATTAATCTGAGAATGAAAAGAACTCACAATACACATTTTTTGATAAAACAAGAAAATGTACTTAATTTTGCTGATATTTCAATGTTTTCTTTCCATCATAATCAGACCATTTTTCAAAGATGACCAACAAGTACATATTTCAGATTTTATCATATTCTTTGTGCAATTTTAAAATATATAAGATTTGGGGGCTTGTAGTGATAATTAGAATTTGTATTAAGATTTAATAGCCATTTAAAGATCAATTGCATCAGTATCAAGAATTATTGAAAAACTTAGTAAACTGAATTAAAATGTCATGTAGAAGTCTGCCTTTCTTAGAAAAGCAGACTTAAAATGTAGTTTTAGTTTTATCATATACTAATGACATAATAAAGATGTTGATGTTTCACACTATTTCAAAAGAAAAGTTAGAAAGGACCCTCACTCTTCAATACTGAAAAGAGTGATGGTGGACTCAAAAAATCTGTTTCCTTGAAAAACTGTTTTAAGAAAAAGATTTTATGTTTCAATCAAAAATAGCACTGACTGCTTGGTCAATAAATGCTGAGACACCTGTGTATAATGATAAATTACATTTGGCAACAAGGTCTCTGATCTGGAGATTGGATGCTCTTAATTTCTGTTATTCCCAGGCCCACTCTGAACTGGAGTAGTAGCACCTGTATATACAGTCAACGATGAAATTATTCACACACCCATCAATTTTGAATATTTTTACCCATTCCACAGAATCTAATGCCCATATGATGATAAGTTTTTATATGTTAATAAGCACAAAAAAGGAATATAAAACTCAATTTTCACACCAATAGGTTAAATACAACAAATTTGACAGGCAAATTATGCAAAGTAAAAGACAAAATTATTCATACAGTCAAAATTATAATTTTAAATTGATTGATTTGTGTAAGTATAAGTAATTTACATAATTATTTTATTGGTGAAGCTTTCTAGACTATTTATTCAGTAGAATATTTGTGATAATTCCAGCAAAAACATCACATGGCACATAGAATGTCACCATTTTTATTCTCACATTAACAACATGATGGAGCTTAGCGCTAACTTGAGACAGAGAATTATTAACTTCCACAAGTTGGGAAATAGTTACAGCATTATTTCAAATGAGTTAGCTATCCTTAGGTCTATGGTACAGTCCATTATAAAGAAGTTTAAGCAGTTTGACATGACAGAGGAAGAAAAATCAAATTGTCATTGAGAACTGCACAAAATCTATGACATGAGGTTAATATAACCCAACAGTTGTTTTGAAAGACATTGCCAAAAGTTTGGACATGATGGGTACTTGCATAACACAATGTTGTTTAAATAGAAATGAGTTGTATAGAAACCAACCACAATGAACCCCTTTTCACAAACCATGTCACATTGTTGCTCTGTTTAATTTTGACAAAACCTTCTTGGACAAAGAAAATTGCTTTTGGGAACAAGTACTATGGAGTGATGGAACAAAAACTGAGCTTTTTGGACATAATGATGTACAGAAGATTTGGTACAAGAAAGGTGAGGTTTCCTCCCAAAGAACACAGTGGCAACATTAAAATATGGAGGTGGCTCAATGTTGTTTTGGGGTTGTTTTAGCTCAAGGGGGAACTGGACAATTGCAATAAGAGGAATAATGAAATCTGCAGACTATGTCAAAATTCTGGCTGAAAATCTACACCTATCAGTACAAAATCTTAATCTAGGTTGGCAATTTACTTTCCAGCAAGTTAATGATCCCAAACATATGTCTAAATCAGTGACTGCATGACTTCAGGAAAAGATCATTACAGTTCTGCCATAGTCTTCAATGAGTCCTGACTTTAATCCTATTGAAAATCTATGGCAAGAATTGAAAGTTTGAATAAATCGTCAGTCACCAAAAAACCTTCAGGAATTAGAATGTGTAACCATTGAAGAATGAAAGAAAATCCAAAAAAAGACTTGTTCAAACCTCATCAAAAATTTTAGAAAAAGACTGCAGCAAGTTATAAAGATGAAAGGCCATGATACTTACTATTAATATTGTGAAAATTGTTCAATTTTTTCTATTTTTCATACTGTACAAGTAATTTTCTTTTTTCCTATTTTGCATAATTTGCCTGTCAAATTTGTTGTACTTAACCTATTGTTCTGAAACTTGCATGTTATATTCCTTTTTTGTGCTTGTTAACATAAAAATCCTGGCATCATATGGGCATAAGATTCTGAGAAATGGATAAAAATATTCAAAATTGATGGGTGTAAATAATTTTGTCATTGACTGTGTAACTAAACTTTCATCTTTACATATATAATGGTATAAAAAACAAGTGCTTGCTGGATTGTTATCATATATTCACAAAAACAACATATATAAAGTATTGTTAAAATGCTATGAAAATATTGAAATATGAGGCTGCAAATGACAAACTAGTTTACAGAGAGAGATGGTATTCATTTTTGCTGGTTTTTATTCATTTTGCAAATAATCTTATTTGATCTTGTTTTATGAATGTGACATAAGTGTTTATGGTTGTATAAAGTTCATAAAAGCAGGTTGAACTGTTGAAAAAATGGACGCCTTTTTAAAATTAAACAGAGAGCCAAAACTTAATTCATATGCAAACAAGATGTGACATACAAAGTTATATATATGTGTGTGTGTGTGTGTGTGTGTGTGTGTGTGTGTGTGTGTGTATACATGTGAAGAGGAAGAGAGTTTTAGAATTGAAAGCAAGTGAAAGAAAAAAGAACTAGAAAGGAACACTATTGTCCTCACAATGAGTTTACAGTGCTAGTAAAAAAGCAATAGAGATGGATTGAGAAAAAAGAAAAAAAAATTTAATATTAAGAAATATCAAGATGGGAAGAAAACTATATGGATTCATAAATAGACCACATGCAGTAGAAGATAACCTCAAGTCATATGGACAAAATTGTGTGGAAAATTATCCTATCCTCAAGACAAAATAAAACAAAATTGATGGCAATGATAAGAAAAGAAGATGAAAAATAAGAGCTAAAAAAGTAATGAATGAAGGAAAATGGTCACACTGTAACCAAAATGGCTACCATCTTTAGATTATCTCCCTTTAGGAGGTTTCATGTCATCTGTGAAGCTAACAATAGAAGATAAAGTTATAAAGCAAGAAAGAAATAGTGAATAAGAAAGAGAAAGAAAATGAGTAAAGAAATACTGAAAGCATGTAGAAAGGCACTTCAAAGTCTGCGTGAATGGAATGTGATGAAAATAAGGTAAAAAAAAGTGCACTCAGGTGGAAAAATAAATCTGGGGAAAAACTTGTCAGTTAGTTTGTGTGTGAGTCATAAGAGAATGTCTACACGGATGCATCATGTCAACAAACTACCAGAAAATTAAATGACAGAAAAAAAACTTGATAAAATTTTTTAAAAATATCTAAAGAGAACTACAAAAATAAAAGTTGTTTTTCAAGGGAATTTGTACAATGTCTACATATTATTTTTTTTTTTTGTGCACATCTCTCTCTATATCTGTATGTG